CCACTCCCTTTAAGGAAGTGGTAAGGAGAGAGGGCTTATCTTAAAAAAGGATAATCATGTCTGCTCATCTGCTTGTTTCTCCCCTAGGGTCCAGAGCCCTGAACACATCCAACTTTATCCCTTTTCTTTTACCACTGGAAATCAGAGACCAAAGGCATTTGTAAAAATCTTCCCCACTCCCCCCACACAATCCCCAACCCTTTAGCTGAAAGTTTGTAGAAAAATCAAATTTAACTTTTCTGTCTTTCTTCCATTTCCCTTTCCCCTCCACTCCGAATTCAGTTTTCATCTAAAAGACAACTTCATTCCCTTTTCTGAAACAAGCAGTTTCCGGGTTTGATTTTGGTTACAACCTGCACGTATGTGTGCGATTTTTCAGAGGCTGATGCTGGAAGGCAATGGGCTGGGGAGGCTGGCCCATCTTCCCAGACTCCACAGGATGCCGGAGGGAAGCAGGAGCATCCCCAGGAGCCGAGCCCGAATCAAGGGGCTAAAGCAACAAACTTTGCAAGTTACAACCGGGCCCGCCAGTGGCAGGCAACAGCCGGGCATCTCCCCGCTCCAAGTGCTCATTTCTGACTCCAAGGCTGTGTGGAGATAGTGGGGTATAATCAGGGGAATGGAAAAGGGGGGGGCTGGGTTTCTCCCCTCTCTCCAGCTTCAGTGAAAGTGTTACAAAGTGAGTCAGGCGACTGAAGATCATCTGACTGAACTTTCTTGAAACCGACACACATTCTTGTCTGCCGGCAACTTGCTTTTTGCCTCCTTCCCCCTCACCCCTCTCCCCCTTTCCTCCTGCACATCTTACTTTCTGGGAAGAGATTTCATCCTTTCCATGTGGGGGAAAGGGGACTGTCAGCTATGGATTAACTTGGCCCTGGCACTGTCTTTGCCAAGCATCTTGCTGGTCTGAGAATCTTGAAGGCTGGGTTTTAGATTCTTGTTTCTCTCTTTGCACATTTATTTCCCTCAAACTGCCTCCTTCTCCTTTGCTTTTTAATAATTGTATACAGCATCGTCTTCTAACCCACATTCTTGACCAGCCTTTCAAACACACACACACACACACACACACACACACACAACTGCTTTACATGTTTTTTCTTCTTGTCGCCTTTCTCTATATATACATTGTTGACTTCATTAAAATTATATAAAGTGCCATTCTAGTTTCCTGGATGACCATTTTTCTTTTTCTTTTTCTTGCAGCTTCTTACTTCTGTGATTAGTATTGCCATTATTCCTTTCCAGGAATTTCTATATGATTTTGATAAGCATCATCATATTTAGTGTTATCAGCAAAGACACAAGCTCAAAAGTGACATCTTTTCCATGAATCCAGGAAAGAAGAAAAATCCACTCAGTTCAGATAAATCCTGGCAATCCCCAAAGGGAAAGGCATTGGATATGTGCTTGATGAGAAAGAAAATGAAAAAGGGGGAAGAAAACTCTTCTACCTGCTTCTCAAAACCAGGGCATTGCTCAGTCAGATTAAACCTGAAGAAAAACACTGACAAGTAACCAATTCACAGCATGTTTTTCACAGATTATTTGGAAAAAGAGACAGGTAATAGTCAAAGTTAGAGAAGCTGTAAGCAATGGACAGGCTTGTTGTTAAGTGCGCAAGGTCTGAGGTAAATGCCTTAAAAAATGTGCAATTCAACTTTCCATTTCGGAGTGTTGAGGCTTCTCCCAAGTTAGTGGCTGGGCGGAGGGGAAATGGTTGCGGGGTCCATGCTGAGCACCTCCCTGGCACTCTGTTTCACCTGCGAAGCCCCCAGCAGGCCTCCCTCTCCACCAACCCCACCCCTCAGGGTTCCCAGGGAGCTTGGAGCCTTCTCTTTCCCCAGACCTGGGCTCTGGCCTGACCTCACTGCCGGGGCCAGGCTGGTCAGCAGTGGCAAAATCCCGAAGGGGGTGGGAGGAGGCAGGAAAGCAGAAACAAACATTCTAAACAGTCTCTTCTGCAAAAGAACACTTCTGGGAACCTTGCTTTATATCTCTTTCTCTCTTTTTTTTTTTTCTCTCTCTCTCAAAAAAAATGACTGTTTAACATAAGAAAAAAAAAGCCTCCTTGACACAAAGCTTTTGTTATCCAGTTGATCAGCACCGTGCTTTAGATACTTGTAAGGAGGGGGGGGGGAAGCCCCACAACAGACATTGATTTTAGAAAATCAATAACCAACATTTAATAAAAGGAACAGAGGAAACACAAGAGAGGAGAGGGGGACATTAGGTATAATTTTAGTGTCTACTAAATTACCCAGAGATGGGGAAGGGGAGGTCTCCTGTGTAAGGACCACCTTAAATAATGCCAGATTGCAGAATGAAGAAAAAAATTGAATTAAGGGAGAGAGACAGAGAGACAGAGACAGAGAGAGAGGGAGAAAGAGAGGAGAGACTGACTTAAAAAGAGGCAGCCTCAACTGGATCTTGGGGAAGCAGCTCGTAATATATTATTGTACTTTTTTTTTTTTTTTTGTAATACTAAGCCAAGCAAATAGATCAAAGGCAGCACAAAGGGAAAAGGCAGGATAACGTAACGAACAGTTTCTGACCAAAATTCCTCTATCACTCCCCCATATGGCTCGACACCTCCACCACAACAAGCAAAAGATACACACACACACACACACACACACACAACACACAACCTAGAGAGACAGAGACAGAGAAGCATCATTTGTCTCTAATCAAAATTCTCTCGTCTTTGTGTTTTCTCTCTCTCCAGCACCCCACACTGCGCCCCCAGCCGCCCCCTCCCTGCGCCGCGCAGCTCCGGGGCAGGCCGGGGGCGCGCACAATTGTCCTCTCTAGAGGAAAGTTGCTCCAAGTGGGCCGGGCGGTCCCCGCGAGGTGCGGGCTGGGTTTGCGGGAGGCCGGAGGCCGGGCCGGCGCCGCGTCCCCACGTCCAGCTCAGGAGCGTCAACGCGGCCCCGTGCCGGGTGATCAAGCTGAGATCGAGGGGAGCGAGAAGTTTCCTTTCCCAGTCTGAGCTGGCGCTAGTTCGCTTGTTTGTTTTGGGGGGTTGGTTTTTCTTTTTAAACTCAGTATCCTCTGTCAGCTCCCCCCCAGCACCCTCTCTGGTCCCCAGCTCTCTCCCCTCCCCCAGGCGCCTTCTGCGCTCTTGCCAATCACTTTTCTCTTTTATTCCCACGATTTTGTTCGGGGGTAATACCTAGGGGGGTCGATCTCTGTCTCTCTGTTTCTCTCTCTTTCCTTTACTTCATCCCTTCTCTGCCTCTCGCCAAGATAGACCTTATTAACAGTCACCCTTTTAATCTCCCACCTCTGGTCTGTGTGTCCCCCTCGCACCCCCATCTCCTTCCTCCTTCCTGACTCAGCTTGGATAACGGGCTCCTCCTGACCATGTAGAAACTGCCCAGAAAAGTCTCCCTGCTCTCTTCGACCCCTCCAGTCCCCGGCGTGCGGCCAGAGCTCGCTGGAGAGGAGCCACCCACCCCCGAGCCCGCACGGACCCTGCCGGACCCCGCGCAGGGTCGGCCGAGTCCCTCCCACCCGAGGTCCGGGCGCGCCCGGCCGGGCCCCGTTGCTCGCGGACCGTTACTTGGCGTACGGAGAGGCGGCCGCGAGACTCCGGCAAGAAACTTTAAGCCGTGCGGAGGCACAGCCCCAGGCCCCCTCTCCCGCCCTCGCAGTTCCTCTGCCACCCCCGCCCCCGCCCCGGGATCCTGCACGACCCGGCGCCCGGGCCCCCGCCCTGCCCTTGCCGGACACTCCCGCACGCAGCCCGGCCGGGGACCCGGCGGACCGGGCGCTAGCGGAGCGAAAGGCGG